CCCCCCCCCCCCCCCCACCGACACCCACACCCCACACCCACATCCAACCCACACACACATCTGTCCCACGCTTCACTTATAATTGAACGAAGAGGGAGAAGTTTTTTTCCGATCATTATTCATGCTTTGAGCCGAGTAGGAAAAATATACACCTCGAAATAATAATAATGAAACCTTTGCATAGAGTTGATTAACGATACAAAAAAAGTGTATGTCGATGTTTTCTGTGTACAATTTCGTGTTGACAACATCTTCATGCCTCTCTAAATTTAATAACATCAAACAACAAAAAACACAGCAGCTGAAGTAGTATTTTTCTGATCATTTTGGGTGTGGGTGTGGGTGAGGACGATTCTCATCTCTTCATTGAAAACAGCACTCAGACCCAGACCCACACCCTTATTCTCGTGTTCTCAAAACATAAAATGTAAATCTTAATATCATTCAAATTCTTTCTCACTCTCAACAATAAGTAACAAAATACATCTTAAATCTATTAGAAATACTAATTCGACAGTTTGTTAGATAGAGATATAAAGTATAGTAATGAGTCTGTTTCTATTTGTAATGAATATATTTCATGTAATATTGAGCTAAAAGATGACCAAACATGGAGCTTTTATAGATATATCCTTCAATAACCAAGACATACACAATTATTCCCAGAACTTTATTCAATATGCCACTCTTACCTCATTTCCATATGTTGAATGATGTAACAAATACTCCATTATTTTCAAAATAATTTGTTATTCTTGTTTGAAAGAAAAGAAATATAGGTAAGAAAAAATTTATGGCAACATAGTTTGATTCAACTCGATCGAATATCTTGAAATATAAAAAAAAAGATATATAACATTTTAATAAAAAACAAATTGAGACTTATTATAACACATATACATACTGATAGCTACAGATTATTAGATGCTTATTTATCATCCTTGTTGTTTGAAATTGGAATGCACATGCTATGGGACGAATGCTCCCAGACAATTAGTCGTTAGTGATTTGTTCAAAGTTATTACGTGGCTGGTAGTATTCAGGTTTGCACATAGTACCTTGCAGATAGGTGTAGAGCAACTTAGCTACTCAGTCATGGCGTTTTTTGAAGATGAATGAAACGACTGTTCGGCATCAGAATATTCTCTACTTTACAGTTATTATCCCAATGATCAAAATGAATCATTGACCGCAGCAAAGCCAAGACTCGTACAATAATGAATTTAACATTTTGCATGACATTGTGGTGGCTTTAATCAACGTCTTCAATAATTGCAAAGCATTCGCTGCAGTATGAGATGCCATGATTCATCAATAAAGTATGCTTGTCTTCATATAACATTCGTTTTCGTATAATTCGTTGCATGTGGCTCTCAACCTTGGACATAGTTCCTTAGGTTTCTTATAAAAATAATCTTTTTAAAAAACGTCATGCTGTGTTTATATAATACATTGAACTTGGCGCAGAAATCTATAGCTCCAAGTGTTGCATGGGTTCAGGATTTATAGAGTTCGATTATTTCTAGAAATATGCAATATTATTTTAAATACTCATCCTACGTATTATATTTTTTTGTCAAGATGAATTTCCTATAGTTATTGATTTTATCCTGGAAAATAAGTATACGAAAGAATGACTTATACAAAAACTTAACTTGTGAGACGATGATTAGTTAAAAACTATAAGACACATATGATAATTACGAAATATTTTCCGATCAACTTACGAATAAATATGCTCAATTATTAATGCCCATATGACGTGTTTTTTCTGTTTATTTGGTATTTTCGATTTTGATTTTTATGTATGAAACCATCAACTGTATATTTTTATTGTACATTTTGTGCATGTTGAATGTCTTGTTTTTGGTCTTGTTATTATCATATTATGAAATTACACTTCATAATGAATTGTGATTGAGATCTGATGACGTATAGTAATATGAAGTGAAACTGCAGCAGTCTAGTATTCTAGAGTAGTTTTGAATTTCGATGTTGCAAATGATTCAACATCTTCACGGCAACAGTTGTGGAGTGTAATCCTCACGTGAAATGTAAGACAAGAATAATCATTAAAACAATTGACTTTTTTCTCCATTTTTTATAATAGACGGGTTACTATATATATATATATATTTATACATAGAGCACGAAGGGAAAGCCGATAGAAATGAATATTCCAAACATGATGATAAACCAGAAGAGACAATCATCTGCGAAATATACATAAGAGAAAAAAAGGATAATCCATACAACGAAAGAAAGGAAAATTTCATCACAAACATCGAGGAGTAAAAGGAAAATGGTATGAATGACAATAAAATGACAAACGAGAGGAGAAGCACAAAAGAAAAGAGAGAAAATATTAACACACAACAATCTACAAAGTCTAAAAAATTTCATAAGCTATTCCAAACCTTAAGGTTTCTGCACCGAACCTTTTCTTAGAGTGTACTACGTAGTTGTGACATTAACATAAAATATATAATTAAGTGTCACTCCAAAAATGATTACAGAACTATCCGCAAAAAGAAGTTTAAAGATATTGACCAACACTATTCCACATTCGCTTGATTGTCAAGATGAACTCTCGACGAAATGTTTTTGAAGCTATTGTATATATTATAAATGCGACCTAAAGATTAACGAAACAAAAATGAGAAACCTTCACAAGGAAAAATACAAACCGCTGCATATGTTGAAAGAAGATTCAAGCCGATTCCACTCCAAAATCCTAAGATCAAAATCTGATCAACATTGATAGCTTTTTGCTGGAAGATACGCAAAGCATAAAATGGAAAAGCTGACCACGTTAAATTGAGCACAATAAAAAAAGCCACTTGTAGAAGAGCTAATCGAATAAACTGTCGTTGTCGTTCTTGGTGATGATTAGATACCTGCGAAATGATATACGTCGTACGTTGCATATCATATGATTGGATAGGATTTTTTTGAAACAGATGCGGATGAATTTGCCGAGCAGGTGATGATCGAACATTTAATAAAGTAAGAACACTGAAAACAATCATGACAACCTAGAAATAAACAAATATTTAAAACTACTTTTATATGATGTATACACGGTTTACTAGCGACAAAATTGATGTGATGATACTGTAGATGGAATAGAAAAGTCCATAGACTGGATGTGCAGTTGCTATACATCCAAATTGACCAGTGTCATAACCAATCAAACTGTGAATGTTGAACATTGTCCAAAAGAGTAAACTTCCAATAATTGTAGCTCGTGCCCTACGAGGTGAATTTTGTCGACGAAGCCATGCACGAGGTGATGTAACCATCCAACGATCGATGGCGATTAGACATACAAAATGACGAGATAAAATCACACTAAGTTCGAAAAAATATCCACGCACTTTACAAAAGAAACGATTGGCTCCAAATACATCACCGCCAACAGCCGCGCCTGAGATTTGTGAAAGACTGATGACACACAATATAAGAAGGTTATTCAAAGATAAGCAAACAAAGTACCATGAGCAGATATTAGTTTTGAGAGTATGACGTCGAAAAACGATGATGTTAGCAATATTAGCCAAAGTACCAAAAGCGAAAATGAAGGGAAGTTCATAGCGGGCTAGAGCCACTCGAATTTGATTCAGTAAAATCATCAATGATGCTGCCATTTTGTTGTAAGAGTTCAGAGAGTATTCAAGACTTTACGACTTACGTTTCACGACAATTTTTTTTTGACACAGAACGACAGTTGCTTAATAACAGTAGCTAGCAGTGAAATTCTATAAAAGTTTTCTTCTTTTTCACGACTATGAAATCCTACAAATAAATCATTATTTGATGTTGACTTAACGGAGGAAACGAATATGGTGTCAGTATCAGTACAAGTGAGTTTCTGACAGGTCAATCAAACCTTCTTCAAAATGTGGAAAAAAGCTTCAGTGTTAGGGAGAGTTTGTCACAGAATCGATGAATCTTCTTGATGGTGCGAGTGTAGGATCAGAGTCTTCTTGTTAGCCAAACTGACAACTATAGCCACACCCTGTCACGGACTACACATACGTATTTGTGAATTTTGAAAGTTAAATTCAATCATTGTATGCTTGAAACTTCAAAAGTTGAATATCAAGTATTCAAATAACACTTCAAGTATTCAACTATTCAACTATCCAAGAATTCAGCTCAAGCATTCAACTTGACGGGTCAACTTTCAATGTGAGTGTGTCGGGAAAACTCATACATCTCACAATATGAAAAAGTTGAATAATTAAACATTTGAATTGAAGAATTGGATAATAAAATACTTAAATTGTAGTTCAACAATAGAATCCAACTATCAAGTTTGATACTACAGCAGACACACAACGTGCACTCTTTATTTGAATGGAGCACTTCCTGCTCGGGAATCATTTATTTCTTTTTTTCTTTTTTTATGTAAAGATGGATGTTGAAAGCCCACTAAATTAAACATCGACTTTGATTCAAGACTATTTGAATCATGCAGGCACTAATGAGCTGTGAATATCCTGAAAAGATTTCGTGTTTTGAGCTTATTGCTGCCAAAATATTGCATTTTTACAGTAGTTTTTAAGTCAATACCGCTCTTTTCAAAGTGTTCATAGCTAATTAGTGTCAACATGATTCCCATAGTCTTGACTTAAAAACGTTTTAAAATATAGTGAACTTTTCTTCCCAAATCTACTTTTTTTTGAAATTGAAAAGAAACTATGCACTACACTTACATGACATCTCCTGTCTTCAATATCACTAAAACATTGGCTATTAATTTCAATATATCGAAACTGTAGTCATGAACTGAAATGCGATAAATCATAGATATTTTTTGACAACCGTGACGATTTTCATGATAAATCGTGGTTGCATGGTTGACTATTATCCTACATTATATCGATACCAGGAATGATTGTGTTCATATAACCCAGTTTCTACTCTTATACTAAAAAGTTCATATTACTAATTTACGTTATAGAATATTTTAATTCAAAATTAAATTACTTACAGTATTTTACATACATAAAACATGTTAGAAAACTAAACATAGTGTAGATGCGACATTCGATTCCTCAGAGTTGAACTAAAATATACTCAAAAAAGAAAAAAAAATAATAATAAAAAAAAAAAACATTCATCGTACAAATTGATGTTTTGAGATGAGTGTTTCTCTGAAGTCCCTTCACATATACTCGTCTTAATTAATAAATTGAATAACTAAAGCAGAGAAAGAAATAAAAATCGTAGTCAAAAGATAAGATTAGAAGGATTACGATGGAAGACGTCATCTTACAGAAGAAAGCCAAGTTATCAACTTTACATCAATCTAGGATTGCATGGCTCTTCTAAAAAACGAATCTACAATAGAAATATTCTAATTAAAAAATTATTTGATCTGAAAACATATCTCTAGTGTTATATATTATCGGAAAAAAACATCTTTTAAAGTAAATGAATGTTAATGCAAAATTCAATTCGATCGTTTTTTTTTAAATTGCGCAATGAAATACAAATCTGAACTTTGCTATAATATCATATAAGAATAGAAAGATATAATGTAATTCATTACAGAATGAAACAAACAAATATCAGTTTTGTCTATATTTGTTGTGAGACACATTATGATTCTGATTAATTCAAGTTATTAATATTGAATTATTTAATCTATGAATATTCATTGTCAAACAAGTCGGCATCAAAAAGATACGCTTATATATACTTTTATGAAGAAAAAGCTAAACTCAATTTCCTTTACTTGGTAATTTTTGCATACATACTAGTATTTTTTTTGTGAAAAGTTTCACTTAACCATGATTCGTCCTAGTTATTAAATGCCTGATAAGTATCTGATAGTAAGGTTCAAACATCTTTAAAAAAATCTAACTTGAATATAAAAATGATCTTTTAATCGCATGATATGATATGATAAGTGCATACGGACTAGGGAGCAATCCTAAATGTTGGACCACTTTTGAGTTGTGAGTTAGTGCATCTTGTTCACCTTAGTGAGCTATGTTTACAATAAAAAAAACGTTCCTGCGTATGGCTTATTTCTCAGGAGATCGAACATTCCTACTATAAAAGCTATAAAAGGCATCTTATCAGAGAAAAAAATCACGATTTTCATCAATATAGGTTAAAACGAGTGAATATATTTCTCTGACATACTGTTGCACTAATGTGCAGGATCATGTGATATTATGAGCATAAAAGAGATTAGAACTATAGAGCTATCAGTTTCAGAAAATGTTAACGGTGTGCTAAGTATCAATTATTATGATACTGCTTAAAATTATGAGATATATAATTGAGAATTGTAATATATTGAGTATTTATTTCACAATAGAAATTTTGAATGTCTGATAATTATAGTTTGCTACTATAATATATTTATTTTTTCTCAGATTCTGATATTTAAAAAAAAAACTCCTGATAGCGTTACTTACTGAATGAAAGGAAAAAAATGGAACTTTGTATCTATCAAAACAATTCTCGTTAAACTAAACTATATAGACTATTTTGAACGTGATAATCGAAGAAAACTTCTTGAAAACAAAAATTATTTCTGCACCAACTGCAACAGATAAATTAAGAGGATTTCCAACAGTTTCTATTACATGCAATATTAGAAAAAGTGAAGCAAACTTCCTTGCCGGATAAAAATAAAATCTGAATGATTATCTATGTATCCACTTGCTTGCCAAGCATAGTTTAACATTTATTGAAAAACAGGAGCGTAAAGTTGATTGTAAATGAGATTGACTGCAAATTACGTTGTTATCTTCGTTTAAGTAGACATCAAAATTGTCAAACATGTAGCATCAATTCGTTCTTCTCAATGGTTTTCATTTGGTTGATTTGTTTCTACTAGAAACACTTTTCATCATTCGTATACGAAAAAGATTAGTTTATATTTAACTTACAAATATAAGCAATTCGTATATATCAGAATCTAAAGGAAAACAAATACTAAATATACTACAATTTTTAATCATTTATCTCGTAATTCTAAGCTATACCATAATAGTTGACATTTAGCACAACATTAACATTTTCTAAAACTAATAGCTCAATATCTCTTATCTCTTTTACACTCATAATATCATATGATCTTGCGCCTAAGTGAGACTGTATGTGAGAAAAATCTCAACTCGTTTTAACTTATATTGATGGAGATCGTGAGTTTTTTCTCTGATAAGATGATTCTTATAGCTGTTACAGTAGAAACATTCAATCTCGTGAGAAATAAGTCATAAATCATGAATCTTTTTTATTGTAAACATATTTCACTAAGGTCAAAAAGATGTACTAACTTTCGACAAAAAAGGGGTTCCAACACTTGTGTTTGTTCTTCTGAGAGACAATTAAAACATAATTTATTTACTGTTACATATCATCTATACAAAAGTTTTTTGTTTTTATCTCAATTTTTGCTATCATGAAATCAACCAAAACTAAAGAAGAAAACGTATTTTAAAAGAATTTTCATTATACATGAATCTTATTGAAGCTTTTTTCTATGCAAAATTTCAAGAGAAAATTGAATAATAAGAAGAATCACGACATTCTATTAAAAAATTGCAGAAAATGTCAAACATCCTGGCAGAAACACATTTGGAACATGAACTCTTTTCAAAATATTCAAAACATATTGAATCCTATATGATCTAAATGGTATCAACTAGAAAGTAAATAGACATTTAAGAATATTTCTTTGTAAGTTTCAAGGAAACTATTTGCTAATGATAATAAGTATTGAATATAGTTTTAAGCAGTCATGATCGTTTGAAGTGAGTTTTTGAATAATTTATGCTTACATTCGGGAAATTATCTTTCCGAAATAAAACGAGTAGCTATTGTGAATTCATTTTAGCATAAATACTTATTAGTTGGATGAATGTTTTTTTTAAATATTGCTAATTTTCAGAAATAATCGAATTCCATAACTTCGGAACCCTCGAAACTCTCAGTAGTATCAAACCTTAAATTTGAATTCAATTATTAAAGATCTTTTCAAATATTCAACAACTAAATAATTAAAGTGAAGTTATGGAACTATTCAACCATTTTATAATTGAATAATTGAAATGAGAATATTCAATTATTTACGAACGAAATAATTGAAGCCAAGCTATTCAACTATTGAATAGCTGAAAATGTTGAGCTCAATTATGGCATAATTGAATGGTTGAATATCTTTACTTCAATTATTGAATAGCTCAATAGTTGCATTCAACTTTCAGCTTTAACATGTATGAGCATCTCATGCTGCAATGGGTACTATGCAATTATCGGAGATATTCTTTAAGTCTTT